ACGCGTGTCACTTTTAACAAGCAGAAAGTGTTTTTCACAAATCTAAAACCCGAAAGGTTTAAAATGTTTCTGGAATTTTCGGCAAGTAAACGGGAAATACATAGAAATTCCAGAGAATTTCCAGAGGGAAAAGAGACTGCTGAGAATTGTGCGATCGGGGCCGGGTACGCAGCAGATATGTGGCATGAGAGAGGAGGCGAACGCAGCTCTTAAATTATTGCCCCCGTGGCACACATGTATGATTACCAAATTACGAAAATGAAGCAATTTTATTCAGGAAGGCCCCTCGTTTTCGTTCACCCATCATTTTATAGGAATTTAAAGCTGAAGCTTCCCGGGGATATTAGCGGTCTATCTCTTGATGGGCACAGGTTCAATAGGACAGGCCGTCGGTGACCTTAACCCGGTCACGTTTAATGCAGATTCCCAACCATAATCGGATTGATAATAGCACTCTGATTAGCTAGTGTAAATGCCGGAAACCTACAGTCGGAGTCTCGCAGGGTGAAGCTCGCTCGCGATATTCAGTGTCTCGGGGTGGAATGGTGTTGCCCTACAGGTGACCCGATTTTCAACTCGCGATCATGAATACATACTGCATGTAGATTTGTCTTCTATTCAGCATGCTTTGATTGTCGCCCGATAGGTGTTTCCTGGCTAGTGAGCAAGTCTTTGAATGTGGCCGGTGCTCTTGTTTTCGCAGATTCGGCGTGCAGGCTTTGGATAAAGGATAAGTCTCTTCGGCTCATTGGGGTTTATGCGCCCAATGACCATGCTGAGCGGCCTGATTTCTTTCGTCGGATCGAGGCGTTTTTGAAGTATGTGCCTCGCACATCTACCCGATTCTCCTTTACCGATTCTCCGTACTTCCACTTTTGTCCGCCACACTAATTTCATTAGTAAGGCTTTTATTCTTATAGGAGGCAACACCCCCAAGGTACTTCGGGAGATTTGTTATGTCCAATCTTCTGAAGGCGGTCTAAATATGCCTAGCGTTGACTCGTTAACATACGCTTCAAATTTTGAGTTACGTTCGAAAAAGAGGCTAAGTTTAGGGAGGGTAGGGGGTGTATTTTTCAACGAATTCTGACATCCGTTAAACGCATGTCGTCTGTTTTTTTTTTTTTGTGTGTGTTTTTTTAACGGTAAAAAGTTTTTCGGCATTTCTTCGTACTTGTATACTTAAAGATTCTATCTAAAAGTGTTTGGGTTAGAATACGTTTTATTTAACTACAATTTTAAAATATTTTTACTCCTATGCTCTGTAAATATACACTGAGAACTGTTTTGTAAAAATAAAAAATATCAATAAGAACACCGGATTATAAATCTTATTGTTCTTTCTTTTTATTTTTATATACATACACACACACACATATCTATCTATCTATCTATATATATATATAAAGACATTTTTATGTTTATACCTTCTTTTTATAGATACAAATATTTAAGTATATGCTCTGTTTATAATAAATAGTATTAACGACATTTACCGGCCTAAATTCCCGAGAAATTTTTATAGAAAACATGCGTCCTCCGACAGGAATCGAACCTGTATCCTCTACGGAATCGTCATTTCGCTTGACGTGCTTTATCGATTGAACCACAGAGGAGCGTTTCGGTTAGCAAGGTCGGTTTTATCATGGAGAATTATAGTTTAAAAACAGCAAAAATGTGGTTGGGAGAAGGAATGTGATAGCAATCGGATAATGAGGGAGAATTCTGGAAGGAACACGCCCGTAGGAAATTTACGCCCCTGAGAAGTGTGCATTCATGCGTGTCGGATTGCTCTGAAACAGCTCTTACCGGCGACGGAGAGCCTCTGTGACACCAGTCGTTGTCCCGAATGGTATTATATTACGTGTTAATTAAGGGGTCCGTACGAGATAGACGAGCTCGGTCTTATGAAGCAGGAGGCTCCCTCAATACTACCTAGGGGGCCCGGGCTGAAATGCCGTGGCATCACTCATGTGTCTGGTGATTTGAGAGGCCTTCTGGATCGACAAAAGACTTTGTTCGGCAGGCTTGGAATATTCTCCAAACTGCGTTTGCTGTGATGGAGAGGTAGAGACCCTGGATCAGACCTTCTTTCATTGCAGGGTCGCAGTCCTGTTGGACAAGTTTATTGAAGATTTCATGCTTCACATGTTGCGCGGAAAGTTTTTCATCCTCCAACGAGTTCTGTCTATAGCAATGTGGTACCGTCATTGACGAAGGCTGAACACTATGTGTTCTTTTGCTTGATAGGCGTAATGAGTGTCACCGATATAGCGGACACGTTAAAAAGAATGAGGACGATCTTATCCTTTAAGCATCAGCTTAAAGTCAAGATTAAGACGGAAAAGTGTCGGCTCCCTCTATCAGAATTTGTCAAAAGGTGGGTGCGCATTTGTGTCGAGTAAGAGGGGCCGATTTAAAATGGCGCTTTGATGTCGATTAAGCATTAGGATATTAGTTCAAACTGGCAACCCAGTACAAAACTAGTTTCCTTTAGTGTTGTTTATAGTTTCTTCTTTCAAAGTTTACTTAGCTAGTGGGCGTAAGCTCATTAGCATATTTTATTTCTGCCTCAAATTTCTTTAGTTTAATTCTCCCCACCCGCTTCCCATTAAGTGACCAGAGGTGTCAGTTTGCTGGAGGATGCAGGACGCCTTACGTTTTTCGTGTGTGATTTTCGTATTTTTTGTTGTGTTTGAATAAGTATGTGTTTGAGTGAATGGTAAAACAAATGAGTGTTTTATATTATTTAAGTCCTGCATTAATTAAGTGATAAGTGATGTTTCTACCATGTTTCTATTGTGTTTTTATTACTAATACTATTTTATTTAGTATCTGGTAAATAGATTATTTCATATTGTAAACACATATTGAGGTTCAGATTTGTAAAGTTTTGTTATTTTCCCCTCCACTCCCAACAAGAATCATACTTATTATAAAACCCAGTGTGTGTGTGTGTGTGTGTGTGTGTGTGTGTGTGTGTGTGTGTGTGTGTGTGTCTGTTATATATTGGATCGGATTTCCTAGATTTTTCAACTGATTTCGACAAAACTTCACAGGACTACGTAAAATTACCTTGCGGTGGTTCTGACAGCGCCAAAAATTGGAAAAAAACAATTGTTTTTGCACGAAATCAATTGGGAAACACGATTAAGAGCCATCGTTGTCGCGAGAATGAAAGGAAGACAACTCATATCGAGTTATACTTATTATAAAACCCAGGTTGTTTGTGTGTGTGTGTGTGTGTGTGCGCGCGCACGTGTGTGTGTGTGTGTGTGTGTGTGTGTGTGTGTGTGTGTGTTTGTGTGTTCGTTTATATATGGGATCGGATTTCCTACATTTTTCAACCGATTTCAACAAAACTTCACTTTTTTTTGGCAGGTAGTGTTTCTTATTGTCTTGCACACTTTTTTCTTTATTTTTACATTCAGAATGCTTTAAAAATTCCATTTACAAGACAATTGTTTATAATAAAATTCTATTCAGTCGGTAGACTCATAACGATTGAAAACAATGGTTTTGTTTGAGTTTGGGTTTGACCAATTCGTAAAAAAAACAAAAAAAAAACTAATTAAGACATGCGTGTCCGTCAACCTTAAACAATAATCTTTGTCAATTTTATTTTTTATGATGGTCGATACTTGATCTATCTCTTACTGTTACATCCCCGGGCAACGCCGGGATCTACTGCTAGTTGTACATATGTGAACTAGAGACATTGAGGTATTATGGTGGATATCGTAAGAATGATAAGTAAGAATGCGTTGTTATGGTGTCAGGAATATTGTGATATGTTTGGGTCAGTGACTGTGGCTAGCTAAGTTTAATTATAAGACAGAATATCTTTCTTTCCCCATTCCCCGTTTTGGCCTTGCGCCACATTTTGTATATATTATACAAATAAATACTGTAGTAAAAATGGTAAGTAAGAACGTATTATTTTGGTGTAAGGAATATTTGTTTGGGCCAGTAATTGCGGCTGCTAAGTTTTATTATAAGAGAGTAGAACCTCTTTCCCCATTACCTCTTTTGGCTTTGTGCCACATTTTGTAAATTTTACAAAATAAATATTGCTCTTTGCTATGGTGTCTAGACTCCTTTCGAATTTAAGCGCAGTACGAGAGTGATGACGAGATCTCACCAATTTACAGTTGAGCTAGCTAGACGTAACCGTAAATTCTATGCTAACAATTTATTTACTCGCACTTCTCGTTTGTGAAACTCTCTTCCGGCTCCATGCTTTCCAGCCAACCTTAAATGCAATGTCAATGATTATCTACTGTCCTCCTGATTACTCTTCCTCTGTTTTCGCTGCTTAGCAAGGTTTATGTCTCTAACTCTTCCTCACCCAGTAACCCCTTGCGTCTCTGTGGCATTGCTGCCTTGCTTATTTTGACAGCTTTTTGAATATTATTATTATTATTAATTTTTTTAAAGATTTTTATCTTTTACGCATTTCATGGTACAACATCGAACCTTTATATAAACAAAAAGAATAATGACAATAGTCTGAATATAAATAATGTAACTACCTATAAATCCTCATTTCAGAAATTCGAGGAGAAAATATAGTTTCTTTCTTGTATATTTTTGTTCATGTGTAAGTGTATATGTATCTGAATGGTTTTGTGTTTGTGTGTGCGTACGTATGTTCTCTGTACGTTTGCTTATATTTTTGTGTGCGTGTGCATGCGAATATTCTTGAGCAAGTATGTTTCTATGTATGCGTGTCGTTTGTAAATGTTCATATGTGTCCGTGTGTATGTGAACGTTTGTGTTTGTGAGTGTACATGTGTGTGCGTGTTTGTGTGTGAATTCGTGTAAACGTTTGTGCTTATGATATACTGTATCGTTATCGATTTCTTCCGATTTCTAATTCCAGGTTTTATCCCCCCAAGAACGGCCTTAAAATGCGCAGGAAACACATTCTCTTGTAGCAAAAGAAAAACACCTTTTTGCGTTTCAGAGCTCTGAACACAACTGTCACCGAATCTAACGTGCTTGCGGACATACCATGTTGAAACACCGGTTCTTGTACGATCACCAAAGTTAAGCAACGTTGAGTCTAGTCAGTACTTAAATGGATGACTGCTTGTGAATACAGGTACTGGATGTGCGGGTGGTGTAATGGATAATGACTCGGAATTTTTAATCGGAGAGCCGAGTTCCAATTTCAGTTGGGTTCGTTATATTCATCTACCTTGGGAAAGGTATGAATCTATCTCTTTTCCCCAAGCTATGGATTAATTAGTAAGATTTGTATCACTAAATCATTATTAACTTCCCGCTAAAAATATAAAAAAGAAAATCTTACAATCTAATATTATTTTCTAGCCTTAAATAAGCTGCAAATGGTTAATAAGTCATGGAAAACGAATCGATCAATAAAGCTTATCTACAAATAAATATTTTTTTTAACTATCGATTGCAAAATGAAATCAATTCGCCTCAATGATATTGATTTACAGAATTTTTTTTTAATTAAAAAAAGACTTTTCTACGTACAGAAACTTATTGAATTAAATGTATGGCGATTGCACCCTCTTAAAACAGATTGTTGAGACGCCAAAAAGCAAAGTGGATACGAGCTGGTGTCAAAAAAATACACACACATACATGCAAACAGAGAGAGAGAGAACGATAGAGAGAGAGAGAGAGAACGATAGATAGAGATAGAGAGAGAGAAAAAGATAGAGAGAGAGATAGAGAGATAGATATATATATATAGAGAGAAAGATAGAGAGATAGAGAGATAGATAGAGAGAGAGAAAGATAGAGAGAGATAGAGAGAGAGAAAGATAGAGAGAGAGATAGAGAGAGAGAGAATGATAGCGAGATATATATAGAGAGAAAGATAGAGAGAGAGAGATAGAGAGAGAGATAGAGAGAGAGAGAAAGATAGAGAGAGAGATAGAGAGAGAGAGAAAGATATAGATAGACAGACAGAGAGAGAGAGAGAGAGAGAGAGAGAGAATATACTTACACAATCGAGTGGAAACCGAAACATTTATGTTCGATACGAGGTCTGATCCAAAAGTAACGGGACTGTTGCTATGGTAACGGAACTAATGTACGCAGAGTGAAGCCACTTGGCATAGATTGACCTTGAACTCTGTCGCGCATGCGCACTAAGTCATAACTTATTTCCGTTGTTTGTAGTAGTGCTTGGGAGGAAAATGTTTACATCTTGTCCGTCTCAGCACACCACAAGAGATTCCATCAATGGCCATGGCCTATGCAGCAGTTTTTGGCCAGATCCAATAATCACCATATTTCCCAGGTCTCGCTCTTTGCGACTTTTTCCTCTTTAAATATTAAATCTCACTTGAAAGGAACAAGATTTCAAGACATAGAAGAAATACAAGAGAATGCCATATGGCAGCTGCTCGATATCTCCAAAAAAGTTGTTCTAGGAATGCTTCTATCAATGGAAACGACGCTGAATATAGTATGTGTGGCTTCAGAAGGGGACTACTTCGAAGGAGATTAAATGCTGAATTGATATTCGCTGTAGTTTTCTTTGTATAGAGACTGTCCCGATACTGTTTTTTTTTAATCATACTTCATCTACAAAGGCGAATCAGTACGTTTTTAAGCTGATTCATTAGCTATTTGTTGAATTTCCAATTTTTGCCCTGTATAATTTTCGATCCATATAATTAATCCTCACAACGGAATTAACTGAATAAAGTGCACAGACGAAGAAGGAAATTATTTTATAAAATAAATATATTCTGTGCTTAATTAATACCGAAAAACTATTAATCATGACATTCATCATCATCATCATCATCATCATCATCATCAATCTCGTAACCGGGTGTGGTCGTAGGGTTGCTGCGCAGCTGAGTACCTGAACAGTTCCAGTTCCTTCCACATGTCTGCGTTGAAAAACGGAGATGCATTTATTCATGCGTACCCTGTCTGGGATAAATAAACCTAATGGAGCCAATACCTCTCCAGGACAATCGATAACCGCTACCCACTAACTTGATGACTCTCTCTCTCTCTCTCTCTCTTCCTCTCTTAAATTCTTCTCAGTCTCTTTCCCTCCAAGTATCCTCTTGCTTCTTAGTGGCAGTATCGCCTTGTTTGGGGTTAAATGATTAAAAAAATTCTCAAGGTACTTGTATTAGCCACACGAGTACCCGCTTTTGCACTTAGGAAAATATGTATGTATTTCTTTTTTTTGTGTGTGTGTGTGCGTACTTGAAACTTGGTTAACAGTCTAACTCTCCGCCTTCGGGCGGAGAGGAACCCGGATGAGGCTCCGTCGAAGGGCAGAGTCTCGTTCGGGGTGGTTGACTGCCCCTGAACCCGTTTATGCGTTTAAGAGGGAATATGTTTGGCCGAGCCTACGGGCTCGGATATCCCACGTTAAACCCGGCCTTGTGCCACATGTAACCCTCGTGGCGGGGGGTAGCTAAATATCACTTGGCTAAATTGGCTAACAGTCTAGCTTCCGGCCTTCGGGCGGAGAGGAACCCGGACGAGGCTCCGCCGAAGGGCAGAGTCTCGTTCGGAGTGGTTGACTGCCCCTGAACCCGGCCTTGTGCCACATGTAACCCTCGTGGGGAGTAGCTAAATATCACTTGGCTAACTTGGCTAACAGTGTAGCTCCCGGCCTTCGGGCGGAGAGGAACCCGGACGAGGCTCCGCCAAAGGGCAGAGTCTCGTTCGGGGTGGTTGACTGCCCCTGAACCCGGCCTTGTGCCACATGTAACCCTCGTGGGTGGGTAGCTAAATATGACTTCTCATTAATCTGTCTCTCAATCTGATTAGAACAGTTTTGTTCTGAAGTTTGCCTATCAGCCGGTTTACACCCTCCTCTCGTTCTGTTGAACATGTGTAGATGTTTATCCATTTTCCTGTTTAGGATTGAGTTTCTGGTCCCTTTTAAATTCTATTTCAACTCTATAGTTCTAACGTCTTCAATTAAATCTCTGAATTTTTATTTACTAATTAGTTTTTTTTCTTTTTAATAGGAACAGGTAGGTTCGTCTATCGTTCGGTTCACACTCTTCCCTGTTTTTTTTTTTTTTAACACAAGTATACGTTTATGTCTTGTTTCCTGTTTGGGATCAAGTTTCTGGTTCCTTCTAAATTTTTTATATTCTTTTTTCATTGTCAGTAACCTCTTACATCTTAGCGGCATTGTCGTTTTGTTTGGGGCGAATTGATTAAAAAAGTACCGAAAAAAAAATAATAAAAGAAAAGAAACAAAATAAAAAAAATAAGTGAATAATAATAAAATATATATTTTTTTAATTCTCGGGGTATTTTAACCAGGAATTTTGATATCATTAAGAACGGTTTTCATTTTGATATTAAATTCAATTATGTAACAAACCTTTGTGGTTTCTTACAATTCAATAATAGAATGTAAATACAATTTAGTTCTATTCAGATAAATACCTTTATTTATAGAATAAGCTGAATTACAACTTGCTATTGTTGCGCATATGAATTATTACCTTTAGATAAGGATTCTGTAAAGTTTAAGCTTCTGACATAACCTTTAGAGAAAATGTTTCATAGCCAAAAATTTAATACATTTCTTTTTTCCTTTCTAATTCTACGCTTTGGTTTGGTTGGCTGATTGATTTTGTTTCATCCTCTATGAGTTATTTACTGCCAAAATTTGAATATTTTGAATACAATTTTATGACTTCAACTAAATATACTTTGAATACAATGATATACTTTCAACTACAGATACAATGTATTGCTGGTCATTTTGCTATAAAATGTATTGTTTGTAATTCTACAATATATATATATATATATATATATATATATATATATATATATATATATATATGAAGAAATATACTCTTAAGGTGTGCTATATTTATGGGATAAAGTGCTCAATATCAGAGAGAGAGAGAGAGAGAGTGCGTAAATACAAAGTGAACATTAGAGCGACAGGGTGTTTCATGCTAGACGCAATCGTCAGACTCATGGCCTGACGATTGCGTCTATCATGAAACAGCATGTCGCCTCTCAGTGTTGACTTCAATGTTCACTTTTATATTTATACACGCACACACGCACGCACACACACACACACACACACACACACACACACACACACACATATATATATATATATATATATATATATATATATATATACCCTGATAGATGAAGTAAAGTGTTCGGTACGAAATTCCAGTAATATCACCTGAGCTTACAGCGGTCGAAACGTCGTGAATATGGCAATAAACATGAGGTCAAGAGTCCGAAAAATGTAAGTAGTTACAATACTTCATCTGAAAATATAGACAGAAACATGTTTTTCTGGTATGTTTACTATAAAAATGTATTATACTTTCATAGTGTTTTGTTTTTGTTTGGGGGTTCACTACTTGCCCCCCATAGCTGGGACCCTAACAGGTGCTACCACTCGAGTCAGGGTGGAGCTGGGAACAACAGTGACGGTTCCAAGTTGCTCCAAGCCTCCCGATCAGAGACCCTGCTGCCAGATGTAGTTTATAGTCATATCCAGGATTAACACTTTCAAAACAGCATTTATTAGGTCGGTGAAAAAATAACAACGGATCTTGAACAATCTTTAAAAGACGGTAGCATTGGCTGGTTTTATATGTCCAGTTTTATTAGGTTATTCATGTATGTTTTTATAGGCACCCAGTGAGGATCAAACACGTGTATTCTCTGTAACCCAGGCGCCAAACTTTAAAGCAATATATCTTAGCGGAGACTAAAATTTATTAAACGAAGTAATCTAAGGTACATATTAGAATATATGTAGAATTGTTATATAGGAATAAATTATCCCTGCTTGCACTTGAGTCTGAATATAGATCGCCAGTGAGCAAACACACGCGATCCTATTATTGAATTAAGTAGATCACGTGACCTGGGAGGAAACGCATGAGTAGGAAGTCGCTTGATGTCTAATAGATCGTCATTTCTAGTCGATCCTCTATTACTATACGGATCTCTATTTCTACTCTATCCTCTGTTACTATACAGATCGCTATTCTCTACTCTATTCACTATACTATTTCTCTATTCGGATCACTATACGGATTACTATTCGAGCGAGTATTATCGAGCAAGTACATTTAGTGTGAGATTATTCGAAGGC